CGCTTGTTCGTCAATCTCTTTTGTCCCCTTTAGTGGCAATGACTTGGTCTTAATTAGGATCTTTCCCTTCAACTGTGCCAAAGTTGGCAGTTTTTCCGTCGGGGTGTTAGCCGGGACCTCGACCAATAATCCCTTCCACGCATCGTGGATGATATCAACCATAAGCTGCTGTTGTTCTAGGTTGGCATGGACCTCAAAGCTGATAATTACTGGCAGATCACTCGTCACAAAAGCGCTGTCCCTAATCGCATAGGCAATTTCACGGAAAGAAGCCCCCTTGGTCAGAGTATGTCCATGCAAGACTCGTGGCTCTCCCTTGATTGCTCCTTGGGTTAAAGGCGGCCCTGTAGCTGGCTTGGTTTCTCCTTTCTCAACATTTGCGTCTGCACTGGTGGAAATCTTGGGGACTTCCGTTGTTGTTGTAGGCGGTGCAACAGTGGTATCTGGCGCTTTACCTTTGAGCCCCAGCTTCGCACTCACTGACTTGGGCAACCTTTGCACGAGTTTCTCCTCAGACTCCGCTTTTGCCATGATCTTCTGCTTAAGCCGACTCTTTAGCCCCTGGTTTTGTCCCTTTTCTCCCTTTGCTTTCTTGGTCTCATTTTCCGAGTCGCTGCTACTCTCGCTGCTTGTCTCTTCATTCTCACTTGAGTCGGGTGAAAGCGGCTCGCCGTCCCAAACATCAATCTCAACCGAGCGACAACCACGTAGAAGGACCTAGAGGTTTATCAGCCACACATTGAGAAACTAATAAACAATCTTATCCTCGAATCTTAAATCAAGAGCGCATATGGCTTAAGCAGATCAGCTGCTAGACTCACCGATGTATACGCACTTGCAGCCGCATCACTGTACAACTGATTACCAGTCAAATAGGTATTATGACTGGAGGAAACAAAGTAATCACAAAGAGGAGCCGAGCAATCCATCACCTCAGCAGGAGCCTGGGCCCTTGAAACCTCATTTTTCATATACGAGCGAAAAGTATCGATCGAGACGAGAGGATCCGAAATCGATACATCCGCACCAGGGACAGTCTCGACCTGGACAGTCTGGCGGAATTCATTCTTGGTCGTCTCAGACGCCACAATAGACTCATAGATCCGCAATAGATGAGTATCAATGCCGACATGAAACTTATCAATGGGTTTCGACTCTAACGGGTGCAGTGACAGGTGACGCGCCCGCTCAACGAGATTCTCCACTTCTTCCATGGCTTTTGCAGTAGGACTCCCAATAGGAGCTCTCCGGCAATGCAAGGCCTCTTAGTCAAAATTGGAGAATGATTTGAATGCGACTATTCCGGTTCCAGATGTTTAGGTCCTAGGATGGAGCCTAGCTTGCTCAGGTACCCTCAACCGAAGCGGGGAGAGTCTAGCGGGAAGGCCGATTCGATTGGGGTAAAAGATGGAGGGGGCGGCAATGTTGATCATCCAGTGCAACGTCGATATAGATCCCGACGGCCACGTTTGTATTCTGGAGAAGGCTGGCTTTGTCCTTTTGGGGTGACTGCTGGAGGGATTCAAAGAGTAAGCAATAGCGAAATCAGAAACAGAAACAGCCACAAAAAAAGGGTCGGGAGGGGCCACGTGAAGCGGGATGGACCCTCCACTTCGCATACGTGGCTGTTGACTTGGCAATTTTCTGGGCAATGTCACTTGGATATAGAACTAATACTCCATGGATGTATTTCTACATTTGCAGTGTGGCATGTTTGGCACTACCTACTGTTCCATGGAATGAATCCGAATGGAAGGATGATCGGGTCGGAGACGGGGTAACTATTCATGTTAGTTTCCGGCCTTCTTCGAGCGGGGCATTGCTAAGCTCGGAGACTAAATAAAGGCCTGTTATGGCAAGGAGACTGAGATATGGGATTAGGCCTCCAATTTCTGGAGACTAACTCGTATATAGCACCACGAATCCTTATAAATCAAGCCTCGGGTTTGCATTGGTTGTTAAGCCAGGCCCCGCTTTCCCCTCAACTATAAAACACCTTCCAACCACTCAACCCCAGAAGAGTCCCCAATCAACTTGAATATTATATTCCTCCTGATATAATTGCAGTAGAGCCACTGCTTAAATATACACCATATCACTGGCACACTAATTACTCACAATGTCATCCTCCGAGCCCGTCCACCTCTTTGATATCACTTCCACCCTACCAGGTCAGCCTCCCCTCACGATTCAATAGAACTTGAATTAACCTTAACACCAACCATTCCAGGCTCCTCTAAATCCTGGTCCCCAAACACTCTCAAAGTTCGCGCCGTCCTCAACTTCAAAGGCATCCCCTACACCCAATCCTGGATATCCTACCCAGACATCGCCCCCCCTACTCAAAAGCCTCGATGTGACCCCCAATGCAACCGGCACCCCATACACTCTCCCCACAATCATCCACAAAGACTCCATATCCACCAATCCCTACGGCGCAATGATGGACTCTCTCCCATCGTTCTACACCTGGATAAAGTCTTCCCTTCCCCTCCGCTCTTCCCTTCCGGAGACGCAAGTTACGCCCTCTTCGTCGCTCTCGGCAAAGTCGCCGGCGGTATGGGTCCTGGAATTCGCCAGCTTGTCATACCTAATGTGCCCCAGCATCTGGATCCGCGTGGCCAGGAGTACTTCAATCGTACCCGGGAGGTGAGTTTCGGCAAACCGCTATCGGAAGTTCGGCCTAAGGACCAGGCTGGGTTGGATGAGATTTGGAAGACTGTGGAGGCGGAGAGCCAGACGTTAGTGAGCATGTTGAAGGGGCGGGATGGTAAGAAGGGGCCGTTTTTTGAAGGGGAGAAGGTTGGGTATGCGGATTTGATGATCTGCTGTGTATTGGCTTTCTTTGAGCGGATGGATCCTGTATTCTTTGAGAAGCTGATTGGTCTCGGTGATGGGGAATTGAAGGCGCTTTGGGATGCGTGTAGGCCTTGGTTGGAGGGCCAGGGTGAGGAGAAGGAGTGGCCGATTCCTGTGCAAGAGTGAGATATCTCGATGGCTGCATTTTATTTACGGCGAAGAGAGAGAAAAGCTGGACATGGTTATCACTGATGGGAAGGCAAGAGAAAGGAATGATTATGTAGATCAGTATCATTGATATATATGCCACAATCGAGAAAAATCAATCGACTTAATAATACATGTTGGATGTCCGGGTCTGGGGGTAGAGGTTGGGGCCCCATTCCAGATCGAATACCGTCGTCCCCATCACATGAGGACAACCGCTCAAGCGGAATAAAAACACAAATCGCTCCTAGGATGACTGCTTGAATCCCAAGCAAAAATTGTTTAAAGACCACGCAAGAAGTTGGACTCCTTGATCGCCTTTCGCCGCGCCTCACGTGCGCTCTTGATAACCTCCGAGCGCTTGTCCATGCCATCCGCGGCATCGGTCAGGCCATCGGCGGGAGCATCGCGGTTGTAGGAAGCGGGTGTGATATCTTCGGCGTGGTGGTGGGCGGGAATCTTGGGAGGGAGTTTCTCGGTGCGAGCGGCGAGCTTCTTCTCGTAGCGCTTTCGTTGCTTTTTGTTCAGGGCTGTGATGGAGTAATATTAGTATTGAGATTGGAATTGATTGGTAAACTGGGTAGAAGATGAATCCACGTACTGGCCGGGTCAACACCGCCCTTGGTAGCCTTGGCCTCTTTGCTGGCATCGCCCAGCAGATCCCAGAGCCAGTCTGGGTACTCGTGGTCTTCCTTGGCGAACACCTCAGGTTTGTTCTTAAAGTAGTTCAGGCCGTTGATCCTCGTGCCAGCTGCGCAGCTGCTAGGTGGGCGCTGCGAAGCCTTAGTGGCCGCAGCTGGGTTCACATCGATGTGAACCTCCCCGGGGGTGCTCAAAGGCTGAGAAACGCCGGGGGTTGCGGAAGAGATAGCGGAGGGAGTCGTGCTGTCACCGGCGGCAGGTTGGCGTGGGGTAGAGGGCGAAGTGGGAGCAGCCACCGAAGGGTTAGGTGCCTTGTCGCTGTAATTCCTGAATTGGCTCCGAACAATGGGCAGTTGGCGCGAGGATAATGATGCGGTCCATGTCGCGGCCTGTTGTTGCGGTAGCCGCGAGAGCATGCTTGTCCGGCAGCTTCTGCAGATCATGGTGGCGGAGAACGGACAGAATCAATTGAGTCAATTCCCGTGATCCAGTACCTATGGCAAGTTACTCGACCTGCTAGGATGTTCTGTGGGGACTTGAATGATCGTTGAGTCGCGGCCTCGCAGAACAGAAAACTGCGGCGTGGACCCGGCGCCAAGCCGGAGACTTGTCACGTGACCTATGTCATCTCATTGGCTTACCTATAGTTAGCTACAATAATATGGCTAGCATGCAAGTCTGCGGTCTGATATTTCCGAGTAATTGATATGTTTGCGAATATCATGGCTCAAGTTACAGCTTCTCAATCAGGCCCTATTGAGTCTGATTAAATGACCAACGAGTGACAAAGTTATGGGTCATCAATCTCCTGGACTCTCCCGAATAGGAAATTATTCCCAGAGCAGGCGGTCTCGGAGCGCGTCGACCCCGCATCATAAGAATTATAATTAGCTAAATGCTTTTCAATTGGTCAAATGACCCTATTTACAATGATTATTAGATCGAGGTAATAATGAGGGGCATATGACTCTCTTATATAGCTCTTCCTTCTCGCCAACGATTGTTCCTCCTCCAGATCTTTCGTGAGGAAATTTGGTGGTTTAAATAGATCAATCACGATGGTGTGCTCTATTCGCTTTGATTCCATTATTAACTCAAGCCCTACTGCTTTTTTTCCCATCTCAATCGTCCTAGCAGTAGTCCTCTACATTGTTCGAAACACGGTAAGTTGTGTACATGTATTAATTTCAATTGTGTCTCGTGTTCTGATTTCTTTACAGCAATGGGCAAAGCGACTATTAAGCTATTCCAAGAAGAAGCACTTTCCTCCAATAGAGTCGCTTCCCAATTTCGACTGGCGGACTCAAAAGCCTAGACAATTACGACCATATAGACCGATTTATAACATAACCATGGGTACTTCGACTCCAAACCCGTAAGTTGTGGAGTATTACTAACTATTATCTAAAGCCATCAAGCCAGAGCCTATTTCTGATCTTATCACGGTTGACAACCAATATCTCGACCGCGTGACTATACGCCGAAATATAATCGCCGAATACAAAAACACCGTCCACGGCTGTCTACCCGGTGGCGAGAGTGCGGTTCATGAGCTCTACTCCTATATCTTGACACACCATCTACCCACCCGCTTCCCGGATCTTTTCACTTGCCAGGGTAAAGTATTTCATAATAGAGCAACTGGCAAATCATTCCCTACAACCCCACCGCAGGACCCAGAGATGTGTCTCCGGATACTAGGCGAAACAGTAGAAGAGGATATCTTTCTGCTCAAAGAAATGGAGACAACTCATAAATGCCTCGCATTTACATGCTGTTTTCCGACGGGATTCGATCCATCTTCAAAGTTGGGTCTAGACCTTCGGGGTATCCATGGCCCTGTGCCAGCCTATGAAAAGATTGGGCCTAGTATGGAGAGATTCTTTCGGAAGCTTGAGGTTGGGAAAAGTGTGAAGAGAATGAATGTGAGTTCTGGTATCTTGACTCGTGTTTGCTCTACATTTCTCGCCGAGTGGCGTAGCACTAATTCCATTGGTGCGTATAGTGGAATATCCAAACTGGTGATTATTTAATCAATGTAGCGGGAAATCACATCAAAGAAGGTGATGAATTTGTTGCCGACGAAGATGTCGATCATTCGACGGTGAGCTGAATTTCAAGGGGAGCATTATATGGAGTGAGGCTAACCCTGAAAGGCCAATCTTCGAATCGAGCTTCAATCTTTGACACGCCTCCCTGAAACAAAGTTTGTTCTGTTCTGTTTTAAGACTTACCTCTACTCTCTGGTCGATATCAAGGCAGAGGGTACTGGTCCAGAGCTTGCCGATGCCATTGAGGGTCTCCAGAAGGGTAATGCGCCCGGTATGTTCAAGTACAAGAGCGCAGTTCGATGGGGGAAGAGCGTAGCAGAGTATTTACGGTCATGACAATAATGAAGACATTTTTTTGGTAAAATATCATATGCAATAACATTGACGTTCCAAAATGTAAGTATATATCAAACAAATCCACCCCATCCATCAAACTCTTCTGCAAACTTCACAGCAGCTTTGAGGTAAAATTCGTCCTGATCCCCCCCATGTCGAGGCCATCTCCCGTAACGATCGGAGCGCTTTGACATAGTGTGTCTCTGTAGAATTTTCACCCTTGACAGCTTGCTCGGAAACCCAGTCCCAGTCTCTTCCTTTCAAGTCGACGTTCCGAATGCTCTCTAGCGGGGTGTCAGGTCGAAGCTGAGCAATGAAAGCCGCCAAGGTTATCAGCCACCATTGTCGAACAAGCGGGACCTGAAATTTCGGTGGGATTAGGGGTAGCAAGACCCGCACAGCATGACTGGTGGTTAAGACGTGCACAAGGAAAAAGTCGTACTTTGTCGAGGGATCCCGGTGTGTCGAAACCAGCAGTGCGGCGGCTAGCTCCTGACTTTCACGGAACTGCTCGATCGGGTTTTCGAGCGTCCATGCGTTCCAGTGGTTCAAGAGAACTCCTTCTCGGTTGCTAAATAGCTTTTCGATGTTATGGTCACCCGGTGTGACAAAAAGTCCGTCGAGTTGCTTATCAGACCGAACTTTGTCGAATATTTCAAAGACCGATGTTGTATGATAGGATGCTTCGATTTTAGTAGGGACCGGATCGTCCAAATAGTTGTGGATGTTGTTGTAGCACACTGCGGCTAGGCTTAGTGCCTCCATTGCGACTTCTCGACTGGACATCTCATAAGCGTAGGCGAGATGAATTAATGGATGCCCCACTGAGTGACAAGTCAGTAATCTCAATTCGGGAATGATATGGCCATGCTTGGAAAGGGCACATACAGTCTGCTATGACTGCGTTGAATACGGGCTCTTTACCCGAGAAAAGATATTCCTCAACGACCTGCTTCCAGTCATACCCAAATCTGACCAGCTCGTCTTCAAAGAAATCCACGAAAGCTTTTTCGTATCTAGCAATTTGCGTCAGCATCGAACTTTGATGAACACCAGGGATCGAGTTAAGCTGCGAGCATACTCTCGGCGTCCTAGATGATCCCTCCAATCATAGGTAGTAACCTCGGCAGGCGCATCTTCCCATGCATCTAATAACTTGGATTCACTCTCATATAATCGAGTCAGATCTTCTGCATCGGCACCCTGCAAGAAAGCAGCACTGAGGAGCTATCGAGATTATCAGCCAAGAAGCCCACCAGAACGAGTCATCAAATCTCTCAGTGTCCTAGTAACTCACATGAGGGGCATGGTTATGAAATTTCCGTGCATTGTATAAAATGGCAAAATTGGCATGGTTCAATTTGAGCAAATGCTTCAGCGCTCTAGCTGGCTTCTCCTGTGCGCTCTCAAGGTCATACACCTTGACCGACGGAATATCGATCACCTGCTTTTCAAATGAAAAAAGCTTGAATGACTTCAGCGAGGGAATGGGAAGCTGAAACATTTTGGCGGTGCTTTAGTCCCGCTTCGCGTTGTTCAAGTTCGTATGGTGGGGAAGTTCGTAATGACCCGAAGCTCACAGTGCGTCCCACTAGCGATGTGTTTAAGTTGTTGCCACACTGACAAACACGCACAGCGATTTATGGGTTAAGTCACTCTGGAAATGTTGCCTCTAGCTCTGACTTGTGTCGAGATCAGCCCATCACAATCTCAACGGAGGTTCGGATCCGCCGTGGCAGTGGATTGTTGGGAACGACCGCCTGAGGCAGAAAGTGGCCATGACGTAATGTAGAACAGCATCTATCACGTGTGAAGTATACCAGAGGAAAAATAATTAAAAAGATACGACAAAAGACAAAATATCCATGAAGTACATAAATGTATATACATCTTCCCCTTCTCAATTTAGTAAAACACAATTTGAAGCTAATTTACACTGCTTATTTTTCACCGTAGTGTTCAATGGCCGGAAGCGGCTGTTCAGAGTGGCCAACTTGTCCAGCAAGCACTTCAACCTCAATACGGGGGCCGACGTAGTTTTTGCGGCCATCGGCAAACCAGGTGGCTGTTGATAGAATGACCACAATGCCAAACGCGGCAACACAGTAGTCTATGGATAGTCAGCTTGCGTTCATGGGTTCCTCGGCACTTTGGTAGACACATACTCATGTTGCTGCCAGTAGCAGGGAGCTCGGGAGGGAAGAGGAAGAGAATGGTAGTCAGAGCGATATAGGCCAGGGAGATCTATCACAAAATATCAGCAATGCACAACAGGTTTCAGGGATGTATAATCTTACGAGGTTAAGCACCCAACCGACGAGCACAGGGAGGACGAAGGGTCGCTCGGGAAGCATGTTGCGTCCTCGAATACAGTTGATCGCAATGGGCATTCCGTAGGCGAGATCCAGCCACACAACGGAGGCTGAAACGATAGCATTGAAGGCGCTGCTCACGTTAGTAAATGAGAAACAATTTCCTACGGGAGTGCAGCTCACCTAGTTGATCCCAGGAAAATCAGGCCGAAGATGATGACAAGGCCCAGGTTGAGATACAAGGAGTTCAGCGGGACCTTCAGCTTGGGGTGGACCTTGGAGAAGAAGCGGGAGAAAGGGAGACCACCATCACTAGGTATTTGTTAGCATAACGTAGTCTCGAAGGATAGCAGGAAACATACCGTGCAAAGGCGTAGCACATACGACTGCTAGTAGTCATAATAGCAGTTGTGGTGAAAAGCATGCAAACCAGAGGGAAGCTATATTCAATCAGTATGAAGTTCCTAACCGCCACAATATGTTCGCTCTTACATCAGAAGGCAGATTGCGCCCGCATTGCTCTTGGTAGCGTTCTTCAAGATAGCCAAAAGTGGACCAGCTGAAGACTTGATGATGGTGTCGATGTCGCCGGCCACGAAAAGCAGAACCATGAGGAAAATGAAACCAGTAACAGTTCCAATTGCCACGCATGCAATCATAATCTTGGGTCCTTCCACAGAGGGGTTAGGGATTTCTATTATCTGTTAGCGCTGTCATCTTGGTATGTCAATCGTGTCATTGTGGTAGTACCTTCAATCATATGGGCGACACCATCCTAATTTTCGATTAGCTTCGATCGGATGATAATGCAAAAGGTGAGGACAAAACTTACAAATCCGGTGACACCGAGACCACCTTGCAGCAACTATTGAATGGTTAGAAAAGGAGAAAAGAGATATGAATCAATGAACATACACCCAGGAGCCAAGCAATTCCATCAGGCCATCCCGTCTCGTTGATGAATTTGCGGAAGACGAAGCTGCAGTTGTCAGCTCAAGTTACCCCATTGAATGTATAGTTAATAACCTACTCTGCGTTGTTGAAGTCGGGGGAAGAACAGGAGAGGACAGTGATACAGATAATGGTAAAACCGCCCAGCGACCACGTAACTGAATAGCGAGTTAGTCAAATGAGCCAACGGGGCTTTTATAGGGAATTACTAACAGGCAGCTTTGTTGAAATAGGGCAGAAGACTGTTTGCAAGGGCGTTGATGCAAAATCCGGCAATGTTATAACCGATATATATGAGGAACTGGTGCCAGCGCTCTGCCTCATATCCCTTTTACCAGTATTAGATTGTATCCCGCTGATGGAACTTGAGAGATATGGACATACCGGGTTCATGAGAGCGATGACGCCCACAACCAATTGACTTCCCAGCAATCCACCGGTCGCGGTCAGGGCCACCCAACCGGCGCAGTTCACCCAGCCGGTGATCCACGAGAGAAGGGGCATCCATTTCGTAGGTGAGACTGTGGGAGGTTAGAAAATGTCTGCATATTTTGATGCCAATTTCAGGAATACATACTAACGGCAACCCAGTGGTATTGTCCGGCAGCACTAATCTCGTTAGTTTCACTTCTTCTTGCCAAAGAGGAGGTTTGCCACTCACGTCGGGTACGCGGAAAGAAACTCGGCTAGGGAGGCGGCCATGCACAAACTACAGATACCTGCCGTAAGGAGACCTAATGAACATTGTCAGTATTGAATTCAAGTTAATGCACTAGAATCCAATGAGACATACCCCAGATAACACTTGTCGGACCTCCGGAGGTCAAACTCAGGGATAAACTTGTAGACAACGCAGTCCATGACTATCACAAATGTCAGTCAATAAAGGTCCTTTCTGTCGTGGGGTTTTCTTAAATCGGTTTTTCTTTCTTCTCTGGGGTGAACATACGTTAAGAATAGCGAATGCCAAACCCAGCATCGATCTATACAAGAGATGATATTAGCCTGGTGGTCGGGCCTTCAGCTGAAAAAGCAAAGCGAGGGCAAACATACAACATGGAAAACTGCCGCTTCAATTCTGACCTGTGGCCCATCTGGGCCAACTGAGCATCATCATCATGATACGCCTTTAATTCTGCGGGATCGATGTCTGCCATAGTGAAGGGAATGGGGAGGTATGGAGGATTGAAACGGCAAGGAGTAAGATCAAAAGGCAAACCCGGGGGATACTCGCCATGAAAAAGTCGGCCCAGCCCAGTCAGCCATGACGACAATTCTCGAATATCACCTGCCCTGTCCGACTTCTCCACGACTCTCTCGCCCACAATCGCGGGGACAAAGCACTCCGCTACGACCAACCCAATCTGTCATTAGCGTTAGGTAATGGTTTTGGGGTAACCGGTCGGCGGTCTTTCGAGGCGGCGATAAATGTGCCGTGTCTTTGATTGGCTCGGTGTTCCGAGTTCGGTGCTTTTGACCAATCAACGCTTACACGGCGACATCTTGACTATCAGGGCTTGTCTTCGCCTTCCGTCGCGCCCCAGAGCTTATCCCAAATTCTTCGAGGCTATTGGCTACCTTCCAATATCATCATCCCCACCGGCCCGCGGGGGCCCTGGCCATCTCGGGGTAAGTTGTCCGGTTTGTGTTCTGCATGCCGGGGAACAGACTGGAGAAAACGTCTCTAGCATCAATTTCTCCATATTCTCTGAAAACCCGGGGAAAGAGGCCAAACCGCATGACCCCGACTATGTACCGAAGATTACTCCAGATACTTTGGCGCCATTATCCATTATTATTGCTCTCGCCACTCGGCCTGGCCGTTCCGAATAGGAGGTTGCTCCTATCTCTACGGGAACTGGGTCACGGTGGAGTGAGTAGTGGAACCATGCCCGGTGTCGCTATCTCATCGCACCTCACCAAATCCGCATAGGTAAGAGTGTATGCTAATCATAATCAGGTAGCCAAGGCTTAACAAAAACAACTCTTGCTTGGCCCTGCAAGATGTACACACACCGGAGTACCAGCGCGGTTCGGATTTTCTAGCGCGGCCCAAAAAAAAGGGACCCCGGGGGATGAAACGAGTTGAGGGTTCCTAGTCCCACACCGACTACGAGAATTGAGTTCAGATTGCGCAGGTATGTGCCCGAGTCTCGATATCTGCCCTATAGGGGGTGTGGGAGCCTACGCTAAAAATTGCAGCTCGGGAGCTATCCGTCGGAACCACGGCGTAGGTCGTGTCGAAGCTAACAGGACCGCGCTGATCGGCACCTTCTGGAAGCTTTCTTTTTGGACCTAGTCCTACTCTGACTGAGGAATCTGGGTATTAATTTAACAGTGTAGAAATGCAGCAGTGAACAGGCTAGTCATATTTGAACACGCATGAAAAGAAGAAAAGAGCAAAGCAAACTTGACATCTCATCCTGCGAACATAGGATCATATCTCCTCCGATGTTTTTTCGCATCGCACCCCGGAATCCTAATCCCACGCGTGGGGAGTAAGTTGGGGTCGCCAAGCGCGAGCTCCGGCCCAACTACGAAGTACCGAGGCCATGCTATGCAAATATCGTATGTATGGTCTTAGATGCTCCATATTTAGCCGGCGTTTCCTGGGCTACATATCCGGGGACAAGTCAATCGGTCGAGAAAGTGGATCGAAAGCAATTGGCTTGAGTCATTGGAAACTGGAGAACTCCGAGATTTCCCTTTCCGACGGAATACTCCGAGGTATTTAACATCAATTGTACTACCTATGCATTCAAATTTCGACCAGTCTGGTCTGAAGATCAATAAAAAGACTCTTCTCGTCTGGTAGTAACGGGTATGAAAAGTGACTAGGCCTGCATGTACTAATACAAAAAAGAAGGAAAAATCGCCATCCCTACAACGGAATGAACAACAATGAAAATGTTCTTAAAGAATGGACAGGATAGCCATCACCATCGCGCTAATAAGCACAACAGGTCCGCTGGCAAGCATACCGGCGCCATTACCATCACCCTTACCGCCGCTAGCGCTGGCAGTCTCGGTGACGACTGTAGTGCCATTGCTAGTGGAAGATGGCGATCCACTAGTCGTGCTGGAAGAATTGCTGTTCTTTGCAGTTGATTCTGTTATGAGTGCCTTTTGATCAAAATTGATCAGGTTTGCAACGAAGAGAGCGGTCGCGCTGATCTGTTGCTCCAAACCCTCTGTCTCATCGTACTTTGAAGTGTACCACTTGATGCCGCAGAGATCGTCGTTCTTACCACCAGTACAGGACTTTGCAGCCGCAGTAGCCGAGCCCTGCAGCAAGGGCAAGATATCGGATTCTGTGTATGGTGCGACCTGAGCGATTAAGGCTAGGTCTTGCGCGAAGAGGCCTTTGAAAAGAATTTGGCTGGTGTCGCAGTTCCCACGCGGTTCACAGGTGAATTCGGACAAGATCTTTCCGCCATATTTCTCAGGGAAGAAATCTTGGGACGTGTTTAGGAGGCCGGTTAGGCCATTCTTCCACTTGCTCTTTCCGTCGGTCTGGTCGTCTTAGTTAGCTCTAAGTGCTCACCGAAGGTTTCAAGGCTGGAAACAACTTACCTGGTTATACATGAAAGCGGCTCCGGACATGTATAGGCCATAATTGAAAGTCCATTGCCAATCACCGTGGTCGGAGCAGTTTGTATTGCATGAAGTAGTATCGGCAATATTCCAGGTCTTCTCGTTGAGTAGAGGCGTCTTCGCGCTCCAATCCCAGATCTTCTCTGCCCAATCCGCATATGTCTGGTTGTTCGTAAACCGAGCCAGCCTTGCCGAGAGAGCGAACAAAGCACCATTTGTCACCGAATTCTTCATGTCGTAACCCGCTTGGTAAGGCCAGATCTGCCATCGCAGACCTCCATCGCAGTTATCCGTGTCCCATCGACTGGAGACAGTATTCCAGACATTCTCCGCGAGTGTTTCCCAAGACGGCATCGATGATCTCTGAGGATAATCCAGCTCTGCGGCGGTCATAGCAGCAAGCCCCCAGGTAAGCTGATCGTCGTTACCCATGAACGAGCTGACGTTGGTGGGCATGTAGTTGTCGTCGGCTCCGCGCTGCCAGTACATTCCCTCGCTCACGGCGTCATTGTTGGAGTCGTCTCCGGTAAGGGACCAGTATTCTATCATGACGTTGAAGAGCGCAGCTCCTTTCCACCAGCCTTCGGACATGTAACCGGGGATGTCGGAGGACCGGTCTGAGTAGAAGGTCATCGCACCTGATGCGGCGGTTTTGGCGGCATCCTTAATGGATTCTATGAAGGCCGGTACTAATTAGTTTTTTGTTCGTGCTCTTCATCTTCGGGCTAGAGTCTGGACGCGACGCAGAACTCACGCTCATCTTTGATATTCAAATCGATCGCTGCCGCAGAGCCAGCCAGCAATGTAACGGTCAGGGCCGCCTTCAAATTGGGTCCTAACATGACGCGAGTTGAACTTCCACCGGATACGGCGGGGAAAGATTTTTGCGTTTGCAAGGAAGGAAAGATACATTGGGGGCCAAGTTACTTTTCTATATACAAACTAATCCAAACGCGAATCCGCCGGACTCGCTTAGTGCCAGGCTATAAGGGGTTCAAAGCCTGTGGTGGCGGGGTCTTTTGGGGCCAAGTCTGCTGGTGCAAATCAAATCTTGGACCCTGACACGACGGCGTTGAGGCTCTTTGGAACTAAACCAGAACTATTTGCGGCGAACGAGTAGAAATGGTGGATCTCTCGGCTCATCTCGCTTCGTGTTCAGGAGGTGGAGGGTCTTGGCGGGTATGGAAGATGCGGATTGGTCAGGTTTGACATGGCCCCAATTTTGTACCTGAGAATCTTTGGCCTCTTGAAATCAATGGAACAACTGGGGAAAATGCTTGTTCATGTTCAGAATCTTGCAAGGTCAGCACTAAAGCTATAATATGAGGACATGCAATAGGACAATATGGATGACCTAATAGCAGGTTGGCGAGAGAGATGAGATGAGATGATACTAGCTAAAAGTGGGGATTCCCCAGGGCTCACTATATCAAGTACTCTCTCAATAAAGGAAACGACATACAGACGACTAATCAAAGCAACAGAAGCATCCCATGCGTGAAGTGTGAGCTGGCATAGTCGCATGTCTGGGATTTGAGGGCCTCTGTACAGGCCATAGGCCTATGAAAACTTTCGAGGCCAAACTATCCTCACTTCATGGCCATTTCATTTACATACAAGTTGGTAGAGCCACAGATGTTCTTGTGAGAGTAGATAGAAACGATTCACTCGATTATGTCTCAGCAAAATGTCAATGGAATTGGACCACGCACACTGGCACTTATTTCTAGCTCGGTGCAATTATATCCCCAACATCCTGTTAGATACGGCTATGCCTCGCATGATCAGTACTAGTACCAGGTCAGTTCCTTCCTAACTTGAAGGGTAAGCCTGTATGTGAATGGTGGGTTAAAGAGTCCGTATGGTGAGAGTTTCGAGATCGAGTTGGCTAAGTTAATGAGAATTGAAACCAATCCACGATGATATACTGAACATACAAGTACTGATAAGAACTATCAAGTATCCCAATAAACACTTCCAAAGGTTAAATGAAGGCAGTTTAACTGCGCTCTACAAACTACAAACTACAACTTCTCAACCCTCAGGAAAAATATTAACACATAGACCGGCCTGCCTGGATTGTGCTATCTGCGACAATAAAGTAGAGAAGAATAAAATCGTAGACACCTCCGCTCCATTCCACGAAATAAATAAAAACCTCATTTCTCCCTCCTCCGATTTCCCCGATTTTGCTTTCCCTGATCTTCCCAGGTTAAAAACTCAAGTCCCCTTCCCACCTGATACCATCGTCGAGAATGCATAACAATCGAATTGAGACGAACAAGAAGCATGTTCCCACCATCCAACGAATCGTTCATTAGGAGGGGATGAGGTTGGGCTGGATTTGCGTAGTGTTTCTTTTTTTGGGGCTTTCCTTTCCTTCCAGAACTTTTTTTTTGAGAAACTTCATTTCTTTTTTTGTCTTGTCTCGACATGTGAGGATTGAAAAGAGAGAAGACACTGAATGCGACAAACCCCTTTCCAACCTCCCCAGGTAAAAGGGAACTTGAACTCCAGATGCAAAAGAAGCACGAAAAGAAGGAGAGTGAGAGAAGAAGATAAAAAAGCATAGCTCATAATGATCGTTGGGATATGGCATTGCCCGGAAACTAGCACACAAACACAAGCACACAGGAAATATGTTTTTGAAACTGAGCAAGTTGCGAGCAACGCACGCAAGCAGAGGAAAAGTTGTCGGAGCACGCAAAGTTTCTACGACCATGGTACGCCAGGCTTCGCGGGTTTGAATCTAACAGAGAGAAGAAACATGAAAAGACAAATGCAGGGGGCGTCGGAGAGAGGGTGAACCAAGAGGGTCACGCGGAAGGGAGAAGAGGGTGGTGGGCAGATTTGTTGGAAAATTGCCGATCAGATAGCGTACTTGCGAGTCCACTCACGAGCCGTCGCTTCGTACCGCGGGCGGTCGGTCTTGTAGACATGGGCGATCTCGGGCACGAGAGGGTCGTCCGGGTTGGGGTCTGTGAGCATGGAGCAGATCGAAAGCAGTACTAGAAGCAAATGAGTCAGCGACGAACGATACATCTCGACATGGCACGACGTTGAAGGGGAGATGTTCTTTCGTGTCGAGGGTCGTAACGAACCTTTCGAGATGGTGAGGGCGGGGCTCCATTGGTCCCTCAGGATGTCCAGACAGATACTGCCGTTCGAGTTGATGTTGGGGTGATAGATGCGGGTGGTGAAGTGAACCTTGGGAGGCTTGAACGGGTAGTCGGTAGGGAAGTTAATCGTGAGGAAGAAGACACCTCCGGAGTATGGCGAGTCACCCTATTGTGAAAAAAAAAATGCGGGTTAGTATTCAGGTACACCTTTGGGCTCTGACCGACTGTATCATGCAAGGAGGGGAATGGTATTCCGCCCCACGGTCGCGCGGAGTTTGAATATGGGAATCAACTTACAGGACCCATGATCGTAGCTTGCCAGTGGAACTAGACGAGAAGAAAAAAAACATCGGTCAGCATCATCCATGACATCCCACTATTATCTGGCGATCTGCGGGAGGGGCTGGTGAGCCTCAGCCCCGCCACACGATAAGGCTCTTCGCAAAGACCAAATCGACTGAGCAACGGTACTTGAGAAATAGAGGCCGATGGAAAGAGAGGGTTGTATATACCAGATCGTCTCCGACAGGACCAGCGGAGCAAGAAGACGGGGGATCCCTGCGGCGGAGAGGTTAGCATCACCAGTTGTTCCAGAGTGAGAAAGTGGTCGTCTTACCGGCCCAGATCAGTGAGTTCCTTGTTAATGCGCTTAAGAGCCATGACGACGAGTGAGAGAAGTGAGGTGGGGAGAGAGAGGACTGAATAAGAGTTAGAGAGAGATCGAAGTTTATGCCAGATGTGTTCCACGTACGGTTACGTCGTTGTGTGGAAAAGAAGAAGAGAGAAGAAGAAAGAGGGGGCAACCACACTCTGAGAGAGAGAAAGTGGGCTGGGCGGGCAGGTGCGTCTGACTGGTAATCCTCAGGTCAGCGTATTGGTAATACACGCCACCACGTATTCTGTATTGCTGACTCAGTGTCTCGGAGGACCTTTGTAGGGCTGGCATTGTTCTCGATCCGAGTGAATGGAGGATCCTTTGGTGGTAGTATTGATCTTGTCTCTATTTATGGGGTTGAAAATTTGCATATTACGGGGTAACTCATACAGAATGGCTCTACAATAGGTAGTGGTGGTCTCTTTCAATTTTTTTTTCCGATTCACTCTTTTCGCGCCCCTCTATGATGTCACGTGCGGGTGAGGCGCCCCGATGGAGCAGACAGCTGCCCTCCGGTTTTCTTCGGGAAAATGCGTCGTCGGGTGTATTGTGAGATACATACACAGGTATCACGTATCTAACGATGTATACTACAAGAAATTTATATATAGATGGCAGAAAGGGGGCTGTCCTAGACGAAAGCCTGCTTTCCGGTAATGGCTCGGCCCAGAATCAACGCTATAAGAATGGTTAGTGTATCTACCCGAAAGAAAAAAGCAAATAAAACAAAGCAAAAAGGGAGGTCAGGCAGGTTGGGCGCGTAAATATGTACTCACCATGAATATCACTCTGGCCCTCGTAGGTCTGGACCACAAACAAATTGGCTACATGACGTCCGATGTGGTACTCGTCGCTAGCAGCATTACCGCCAAAGATTTCCTGCAGACTGTAGAAATAGATAGTCAGTATCCGGTTGTGGAAAGAACCAAAGAAAAAAGAAAACATACATCCGCGAGTTGACCAGCGCTCGGTCGCAGTTTTGACGCTTGATCATCGAGATCATCTCGGGGGTGGCCTTGCCAGCATCCTTAAGGCGAGCTACCTGCACAGCGGCCAGAGTACCATACGCCGCATCAGTCGCCGCATCGGCCAGCTTCTTCTGAACCAGCTGGTACTTCGCCAGAGGGTTTCCCTTGAACTGCTTGCGCTCCAGACTGTAATCACGAGCACGAGCCAAGCAGTCTTCCAGCGCACCCATGCTACCAAAAGCGATACCCAGGCGCGCGCTATTCAGACAAGTAAACGGACCAGTCAGACCCTCAACATCAGGAAACATATTCTCAGCAGGAACAGGGCAATCATCCATCTGAATCATGCCCGTAATCGAGGCACGAAGCGCACTCTTGTTCTTAATAGCAGGAGTCTCAAATGTACCCGGCGGGCATCGCGAACGCTCAACGACGAATCCACGAATTTTGCCCGTCGACTCAAGCTTAGCCCAGACCAGCGCCAGGTCTGAGATGGGTGAGTTGGTGATCCACGTCTTGCTGCCGCTCAAGAGATACATGCCCTTTTGAGTTGGGTGCTCGCGTGCCACGGTCTCCATCGCGCCGGGATCCGAGCCGTGATTTGGCTCTGTCAGACCGAAGCAACCGGCCAATTGACCCTTGGCTAGACCGGGCAGGAATCGCTGCTTCTGCTCCTCGGTGCCGAATTCATAGATTCCCGTCATCGCCAGTGAGCTTTGTACAGACATGCCTGATCGGTATCCAGAGTCCACTCGCTCTACCTCCTTGGTGATCAAGCCTGAGGCGACTGTGCTAACTCCGGCACAGCCATATCCTTCAATCGAAGCGCCCAGCAGGCCAAGCTCTCCCATCTCGTAGAGGATCTTGCGATCGTAGTCTTCATTGCGGTAGGCCTCTAGGTAGTTGGGATTCGCGTTAGTCCATCAAGGCATAATATGAGGAATGTGGATGAGGGGGGAAAGAAGAAACATACCGAGCACACGCGGCTGCAATTGCTCTTGGCAGTACTGTCGTGCTGTGTCCTGAATAGCCAATTCTTCTTCCGTGTAAAGTTCCGCAGCGGCGAGGGGATCTTCCCAGTTAAAGACCGCCGAGGAAGCATAGCGCCGACCAGCGACAGAGGAGCCAGGACCAGCCTGGACAGAGCGCGCAGCCAAGCGCAGGAGAGAACGGTTCATCATTTTTGTAAGAGATCGACGACAACGGTCACTTGGTGGGGGAAAGGAATTGAAGTTGGCTGTACGGAGTAAATGTCGTCAGGTTGCGGGGGAAGCTCTATCAAATATGCGCTAAAAGGACGGAGAGCCTCGGCAATTCTGGGGCAGTGGGATCTCCGAATTCAACGACAAAGACCGAGTGGAGTGACGCCCTGGATTCTGTCGGCGATCGCAAGGGGTGGAATCTGGAAACTTGATTCGATGGATCCCCCGACTTTTCGAGGTTGTATCGGCTGGAGGGCTCCGGGGTCGGACTTTTTCGGTCATGCTGGTGTTACTTGTTCGGATCGCTCGGCGTTCCAACACTGCCGAAGATACACACATGCTTAGTTATAAGTATCTATAACTAGTACATGTATGGATGGATACAGCCATGATATTTACTATGGCTACGGGCTGTATTGCTACTTCATTCATTAACGCGCTCTCGTTCATTTTAACAATATTATCTGCCTGCTTGGTACAACCAGTTGTCCGGCGTATAAGGTAATTATTATGTACAAGGGACAAGGGTCCGGGAATATTCACATCTACAGACACGCAAGGGGGATCCTCATGCAGGCATCTGGCTTTGGAGGAAATCAAACACCCCCGTGGGGAAGTAATCCTCGTCGAATCCCCACAAATCTGCCATCATGGGGTCCATTGAGCCCTCCGAAAGTCCTGGTTCAGGCTTGCCGATTGTCGTCGGCTCGAACCCGTTGCTGCGTTCGGCAGATAATGGCGCCACGCCCAACAGTGGTGGCGGGTGGTTTAGGATAGTGTCTCGTTCTCCTAAGATCTGAGCTCCAGGAATTATAACCGGCTTGAAAAGAGATGATGTTTCCTGTGTGTTGGGCCCCATGGAAGGCTGGGCACCATTTCGCTTCTCCCATTCTTCCAGACCCGTAAGCATCTTGCGTAGACCGCGAGCAATGTGGTGGCTGAGATGGCGCTCGCTTGCTCTTTGGCTGCAGGATACCATCAATTCGACAATTCGTCCAACCAGAACTCGTACATATCCAATATCGACTAGCAAACCTGCCGATGCAATCGAGTTATTTTGTTGGTTCGCTCCGCTCGAGCACGCCTTAGCAGCAATCTTCAATAGGAATACCGCCGCGAAAGTGATCATGCTGTGGAGATATAGAGGCACGCCGACTAGCGCTCTCTGGATGTCTCGCTCGTCCAGCACAACCTGTAAAGTGGCAATGGCCGACTCAATCGCGATATTAGCCCGCTTCCGTCGTTCGGGCGACATGGTTCGCGAAGAAGTTGAGGAGTGATATGTGCGTAGTGCAACCGAATATAGCTGTAGTCGAGAAAAGTTATAGTGCATGTACACGGCTTTGTAGGGGTATGCGCCAACGTGACGGCTCCCAGCTTTAAATATGACTGAGTTAGCGAATTGCAGCCCGAGTTGAAGCAATAAATTGACTTACCAAGCCGAGGAAGCCATGCTGATTTCCAATGGCCCAAATCCGTGTCATACTGGTCGATCTTGGGGAAATCGCTCTCGGCGACCTCAAGATCAACATCCGGTCCGAAAGCGAAATATATGCGAGTGAGAATTATGAACAAGTCTACCTGACTGTGCAATCGTAGGTCACCTTGAGTGATGGATGGAGTCTGTGTGAAAGTGTTATGCTGGGTGATGGATGCATCTTCGTGGATGATGGGTGGTCGACCATATGCGATAGAGAAGTGATGTTCAAGAGTCTTCTGATTGTTAGTCTCTCGGGATTAATTGATGGGGCGGGAGATTAGAAGCATACATAGAGGAGATACCACAGACGAGCCTGTTCTTTGTGCTCTGGTGAGCCTTGTACGGCCTTTCGATAGAACTGATGCAAATTGCGCTCAGTGGCAATGCGGACCGCATACCCGGAAAGCTTCCAGCTCACATCAGCAAGCCAGAAAGCACCGATACATAAAGCCCGCACATCATCCAAGCTATGATGGTCTCCAAGCATGGATTCGGATGCCAATTTCGCGAACTCCGTATAACAGGTATCAAACGTGCGCTCCTTGGTCGGCATATGGAGTGCCGTCACAGCGAGGATCGCTGCGGACATCAGGGACGAGGATCGTCTCACAGATGCCAGATCCTTGTGTGGAGAAGTGCGCCATCCCAAAGATAGCGATTTAGAACTTGGTCGAAGTGGTAGAACAACTCCTCTGCCTCTTGCAGTTCCACCACGCCGCGGGAAATGAAATCGGTCACCAGCGCCTGATCCGATGGATATCGCTGTGTGGGAGAAGAGCTCTCGCGGTTTTCACTCAACTGTGTAACTTCATATAAGCTACCCATGGGCGCAGTCACTAATGAAGTAGCCGCGGTCTCTTCGCGGTCTATCGAGTATTGTGCCTGCGGTTGGGGAAATGTATAGGTAGATGAGCTGGAACCCGTAGTTCCAGGAATAGGTGTATCTGCTGAGGCAGCCTTGTGGTGTCCATATGCATATCCCACATCATCTACCGATACGGTTGACTCTTTCCGACTTCGTTTCTTCGACGGTGTCTCGGTCGATCCACCACCCGCTTGGTAATATGATAGTTCCGGCAGTTGCGCCTTCCTAAGCAGGTCGGTCATTGCGAGCTCGATCATGGTTTTCCACCTATATCAAGCAAATAGCTTCATTAGTAATTGCGACTAGGCAGGAAGAAAAAAAGAAAGCAATTAAGAGGAGCAACTAGCTCCGAGGATATCAACTCACTCCGCTTCATCCTCTAGTAATGTCTGGAGGCTTTTGTTGACAACACACTCCAGCCCCATACGTCGACATCTCGAGCAACTCGACTCACCTGCCTTCATATCACATCGGACCTTGTGTCGCTTACATTCCGTGCACGCACGTATCCTCCGTGAGATCTTCGGGACATGTTGCGACTGCCGCGAGTGATCCTCGGGAGTGAAACTGCCTTGCGGAGAGGCCGAAGAGGCATCGCCATTGCCCTCGAAGTGAATGCGATTCCGCTTCATACTGAGGAATCGGACTCATGCTCCTCAAAATAAAAACAAGAGCAGACTGACTCCGGGAGAGAGAAAGGCGGGGTTGCGCCCTCCGGTAATCGACCGATATCGCAGCCTGAGGCAATATTCGGGCCTGGACCGGCCCCGGGTCACCGGTCACGTGGATTCTATCACGTGGAACTTCCCGTTTGGGTTTAATGGTGGGTTCCTCATGATGCGCGCATTGGCGCGTCGCGTCAGTCTACCGCGGTGAAAGGCGATCTTGACAATCTTCCCAACCAAACTTGCCCGCCAGCGTGAAGGATTCAAAGTCGCCAATATGGGTATCAAACGTGAGTTTGCAGCTTCAAATTGTTTCTGGGACCTGCTGACCGGGTCCTCGATAAGACCTATACCAGGTGATCTCAGAGAACGCCCCCGATGCGATCAAGACGGGGGAGATCAAAAATCATTTTGGCCGCAAGGTCGCCATTGTATGTCTTCACCTGAGAAACTTTCTGCTTTGATTTTGATAGAATGAAGTGGCTAATGATCATCTTTCCGTGACAGGATGCGTACGTCCAACACCCGTCGTGCAAGGAATCTACGAACGTATTCCACTAACCAAACACAGATCAATGAGTATCTACAGTTTCTTGATTGCAGTGCGCTCAGAGGGTCAACAATTAATGAGCGAGTCCGGCGAAACAACATCTCACTTGATGGGCCTGTTCTACCGTACTCTACGAATGGTCGATAACGGCATCAAGCCTCTTTACGTCTTTGACGGAGCCCCGCCAAAGCTGAAGTCAGGCGAACTGGCCAAGCGTGGTGCACGTAAGGCCGAGGCAACCGAAGCCCACGAGGAAGCCAAAGAGACCGGTACCGCCGAAGATATCGAGAAGTTCTCACGACGAACAGTCCGAGTTACTCGTGAACACAATGCTGAATGCAAGAAGCTCTTGTCGCTAATGGGCATTCCTTACATTACTGCGCCCACCGAGGCCGAGGCTCAATGTGCGGTTCTCGCGCGTGCTGGAAAGGTTTATGCTGCTGCGTCGGAGGATATGGATACGCTATGCTTCGAGTCGCCTATTCTTTTGCGCCACTTGACTTTCAGTGAACAGCGCAAGGAGCCGATCCAAGAGATCCATCTTGCCCGGGCCATGGAGGGCCTCAATATGGATCGTGATCAGGTGAGGCATTGATTCCCTTTGTCAGATTTCGCCTTTCTAAATACTGACCCTGACTCACTACGCAGTTCATCGATCTCTGCATCCTTCTCGGATGCGATTACCTTGAGCCCATCCCCAAGGTCGGACCCAGCACGGCTCTCGCCCTGATCAAGGAACACAAGACCCTCGAGAAGGTGCTCGAATATATGCAAAATGACCCAAAGAAGAAATACGTCGTCCCAGAGAGCTGGCCGTACCAAGATGCGCGGGAACTGTTTGCCAAGCCGGACGTCCATGACGCGGATCACCCGGAGTGCGATTTCAAATGGGACGCGCCGAACGTGGACGGATTGATCGAGTACCTAGTCGGGGACAAGGGATTCAACGAGGACCGCGTGCGCAACGGTGCCGCCCGTCTCACTAAGAACCTGAAGAGTGCTCAACAGGCCCGACTGGAGGGATTCTTCAAGCCCGTCGCGCGCACAGATGACGAGAAGGCCAGCTTGAAGCGCAAGAATGACGAAAAGATCGCTCAACAAAAGAAGCGCAAGAAGGATGAGGCTAAGGCCAAGAAAGACTCGAAGGCGAAGCCTCGTGCGGCCGGCTAGTCTATGTACTGTACGTACTTCTGGTCAATCCAGTTAGCCAACGGGTTTGCTGGCAGTCTTTCTTTTTCTGTCTTTCTCAAAATCAGGCGTTGGAGTGGGTAGGCTTCTATTTCCCATTGTATTTTTTCTTATTTCTGTTTGCTTTGATCTCCAATTGCATTTTCGGGTCACGATTTAGGGGTGGGGGCTACTTTCTTCCCGCCAGGCCTTCAAGCCCATGAGATGGAGTCTAGCATATCATACCAGCGAAAGTGAAATGATTAATTTTCAAGAACCAGATCGGTCCAATAATACTATTTTGGCTACTCAGAAGTACTGTATAGCCGCATGGGGTGCAGGATCAGAGAATATAAGATGGAAGGGGTGGTGTCTATGAATCACCATTTCCGTGATCCTAGTCAATACGGCATCGGAAAACGCTCAAATAAATTCTCATTGAATTGAGATATGCATATTTAATAATTATGAATGCTTTCTAACCAAGTTCAGGAGTGGTTGTGGTGGTTTTAGAAGAGCCAAATCCCGATGCTCTTGTTTAGATCGTCCGGAATAAGCGAGGTGGATCGTGATCTGCCAATGGACAAGAGCGAGTGATCTTGATCGCGGCCGGCATGAGACGGGCTCAAATTGCTATATTTTGTTTTCATCGTGGTCTTTACTATATTTTTTGCCATTTTGTAGAAATAAATTGGCGAGGTGGGTTGGGATCAACCCTTTGCGTGGTCTCATCTTGTCCGCTGCAAGGTTGATGCGAATGCAGCTGGGGCCGGGCCGGGCAGCCACCCTACCCCCTTTCACCCTCAGAACATACTCGTAATCAAGACATTTTTAAGTAATTTCGGAAAGAGATGAAAGTAGTCCTACAGTATCTGTATTTGTTTTTCTCTGCCGTGTGGTGTTTTCGAATGAAGATCTCAAAAATGTAGATTAAACATCTGGGAGTCAGTGCCAGTTAGTGCTCCATGAACCCGCGATCACCCAACGTTGAAGGAACCGGGCCTAGTGGAGAGCTTTTTATCCAGTAGTCGCTGGATTAACGTGGATCATTGGATTCTGCGTGTTCTATTGGCCTTTGGGATCAATCACGGCCGTTGTACCCTCTTCGAAGTAACCTTGAAAGGTATTTCAAAATTCCGCAATATATATATCCGCATCTCACTAGATCAGTAGACCAGCAATATAGAGACACACAGGTCCACACTTCTACTATATCCCATATTATAAACGAAAATAAAATAAGAAACAGTCCAAATAATAGATGATAAAAATATATTTTCTACTTTATCCACTCGTAGTACTATTCCTCCCCACACACAAATAACGATGCAACACTAATTCCCAGATGGCATGATATGAGAGCGTGTTGGCCAACGACGATCACGGGTAGCGCGACGGAGAGCAGTTAGGGCTTGACGGACTATACGGCCGCGTGAGACCAACCAAGCGTACTTACTACAACACAACCAAGTCAACGACATCATCGAGTGCCGGGCGTGGACCGTGGACCGAACCGATGGCAAAAAACCGGGCGGGGAAAAAAAGGCCTCGTGATACTCGGACTCAAGGTAGCTACTGGATCTGCAGGTCCTGAGGGAAGCACGCAAGGAGATCCCCTCTCCCGGAGATCGCATGCTGCAACTGCGCGTCCCCGAAGTATAATAATAACTACCAGGTATATCATTTATCGCGCCTGGAAGGGAAAAGAAACACCAGGGGAGTCCATGCATGTCAATATGACATTCCACTTTAAATTAGAGAGGGAAGTGTTCCCTAGTTACTACTAGTCCGCAACGGCTGGACCTGGGAGATCCGCTCGGAATATTCAGACGAAGATCTGGATTCCTCCCCCAGCCACATTGGCCGAGAACAGAGGAAGGGAAAAGGAACCAATCGTCCTGTCTGGGCGATCACTTCAGACTTGTGGAATGTGTCCATGCCTTGTTAGGACCCTAGAGAGAAAACTCCCACCCAAAAAAGAAAAGGTGCATGAAGTTGTTCACCGCGACAAACGAAGAAATGCGCGATTTTCTTGTTGATAAGGAGGAATCGTAGACGCAGGGACGAGTCATAAGAGTCATCAACCCTAGTAGGACTTCGATTAAAAGGACTTCCAAGCCAAGATTCGAGGTAGAAGCGCACAAGGACGTGTTACTCCTCTCGTCTGCCCAATCCGGGGAATGCTCGCGGCCAACCATTCCTGACCAGTTCTGCAGATTCGTTTCGACGCGCCAAAGGTTGGATGGAAGACCACCAAATAGAATAAAACATAAACCTAGAAAAAAGTAAAAGCAAGAAGGAGAAAAAAATAATAGAATCAATAATTTTAAAGCACACAAGTACGAAATAATGGTCAAATCCACCAACAAAAGGAGAAAAAGACCCATGCGATTTTCCGGGAGAGAGAGGGAAGACTGGGTTGATCTGGCTGTCAACAGCGGCCGCCTATAAATCACGGATGCCCCGCGGCCCTTCCCCCTTCCGCTGTTGCTTCTTCTTTTCTCTACTTTCTCCCTCTCCCCACACACACATCTTTTCAATCTTAGCTTTGTACTATCCAGTACTTGTTGATAACATCTTCTCTTCCTTTCCATCAAATCAACTCATCTCATCATGCCTCCCAAGAAAGCAACCGGCGCGACCAAGAAGGCCACTCCCGCCGCTCACGCCTCCTACCGTGGTATGTTTTCACTGATCCTGAACGACCACCCCATCGCGTAAACGCGATAAGGACATCGTTCGCGTCGCGAACGTCTGCTGACTCCATCAATATAGATATGATCAAGGATGCTATTGTCAACGTGAGTAGATCACCGCTGGCGCCCGCCGTGTTGTGATTCGGGTCGCGCGCCCGACCGTGACACGCTCGGCCGTTTGCTTCGAACAGCCACCACCACAATGTGGATGGGGTTTGTTTATTATTTTCAATTACTGACTGGTTTCTCCGCATACAGCTGAAGGAACGCAATGGTAGCAGGTATGTTGGGCGCATTTTCACCTGGTTGTCGCGTTCGCGTTCGTGGGAATCTTCTTTTCCCCCTCCCACGAAGCACGCGTCGGCCTTTCCTCCCATATCACGCCACTAACTTATTTTCTTCCTATTTTAGTCGCCAGGCTATCAAGAAGTACGTCTCTTCGAACAACAAGATCAACGTCGCTTCTCAAGCCACCTTCGATGCTCAGTTCAACAAGGCCATCAAGGCCGGTGTTGAGAAGGGCGAGTTCACTCAGCCCAAGGGTAAGTCCCACTCTTCTCTCTCTTTTTTCCTTTCAAAGTTTTTTTGCCCCTTCCTTTTCAGTTGCCCAGCGCAGCCTTTGAAATCGCGTGTACATTATTATGTGAATGTACATGCGTTGACAAGCTGTGGCTGGAGCTATAGCGCTGTCGCCTCTCTGCGGAATCAAGTGACTAACATATCGCGTCACAGGACCCTCTGGCCCTCTGAAGCTGGCCAAGAAGGAGCCCGCTGCGAAGCCCGCCGCTAAGGCTGCTAAGCCCGGTCCTAAGCCCAAGACTGCCGCCAAGGTAAGCTTTGTCCAAAGACATGCTCGTCGGCGCTTAGCTTACATTTTCCAACAGAAGACTGCCACCAAGGCCACCACCACCAAGAAGGCTGCTGCCCCTAAGAAGGCTGCCGCTAAGCCCGGCCCCAAGACTGCTGCTGTCAAGAAGACCACCACTGCCAAGAAGCCCGCCGGCCGCCCCAAGGCCAACTCTGGCAAGGCTCGCAAGACTGCCACTGCTGTAAGTTGATCATCGCGCATGTCACCCTGAACCACCGACTGACCATCCCAGGCCCCCGCCGTCGTCGAGCAGCCCAAGGTCATCGGCAAGACCAAGTCTGGACGCGTCACCAAGACGACCGCTCCTCCGGCCAAGACCGCCGCGAAGAAGAAGGCTACTCCCAAGAAATAGGAGGCTATATAAACCTCCCTTTTCTTTTGTAGCTTGATGTCGTTCCTCCCGGATCTCCTTTTTTCCCCCTCCTCCCTTTTTAACGTGCGCACTTTCTCTCTCTCTCTCCTCCCGGGAGGTTCGATCATCTTGAAATGCGTCTTTCTTCCGCTGTAATTTCTTTTCTTCACCTCGCTGATCTGGTGGCTCTGATGGTTCTCCTTTGTTGATTGTTTTTTTTTTCTGGGAATATCTTCGTTATGATGGCTTTGTTTTTTTGTTGTGTTTCTCTTTCCCTTTTCTCCAACGTGGGAGGGAAATGGCGTCCTGCGGTGGGTTTCAACGGGGAAATTGTCTGGTTTATTCCTTGTTTCTCTTTTTACTTTTCCATATTTTTTCCTCGTCTCTCGATTGGGGGTCTTTTGAGAGGAGATCAGTCGAAATGAATTCTCTTCGAACCGATTCGGTTGAATTCGTTGTGCTTTTTCGTAGATTGGGTGTGTCTTGTAGACCTTGTATGTATGTATCCATGGATGGGTATCGCTGTTGTTGACGCTGAGGATAAGTGGGGTTGCATAACGCGTATGTAATTATGCTGAGGATCATACATACTCTCCTCATTTCTCGGTGATCCCCGTTGCTAGTGCTAGTGGGTGATAGAGACGCGTTAGAGAAGAGGCTTATTGAGTACTATAGTAATAAATGGACATATGAGAATACAGTCAATTAATTGTCTTTACAAAATTGCGGTTTGGTACTAGGTTAGGCTCTTTGTGGCTGATTACGAGTAGAGGGCCCAATGTTCGTACAATTTGCCACCGACTTGGCCAAGACGGGCCTTGCAAAGAGTCCCGGGCGGCTAGGCCCTGATATGTACCCGTACCGATTTTGAACACCGTATTAAATGGGTTACATACATAGTAGGGTTGATTTTTTTTTCTTCTCTGAAATGTTTTTCTTTAAGGGTCTTTGCATAGTACCCGCTCATAGCCACTCGATCGTGACCCCAGGCCATTAGATCGTGTATGATTTCATCACTGGTGGAGTGGGTTATTTTTGGAACGGAGGAGAGGGCCTCTTCAGGGATGAAATGGCGTTGCTGGGAAGTTGTTTAATTTGAAAGTACGGAGAAGGGGAGGGCCGGTAATTACGGAGTAACAGATAAGTACTAAGTATTCCTATACGATAGGAGAGAGAGAGTAAGGGTGAGATTCTTAATAAACCACAGACTCGGATCGTTTGGTTCAGGGACATCCGGTCACATTGGATGCCTGGCTATACGCCGGCAATACTATACAGAAACCTCCGTAAGGAGTACTGATAGGGTATTTATGCAGTTCATCTTCAAGTTCCTTGACTGGTTGCATACTGTAGTTAGTCGGTATGTACTCGTTCGTAGTCGAATCTTGGAAAGAGTTCTTTCTTGAGTGCCTGTGCGACGTCACGTTGTTCTCCTTGCATAATGTACTGGGGGGTTTGGTCCTCGGTCATGGGCATCCATACACCCCGCAGATGAGAAATTTCTATTCCCTTTTTTGAACCGGTGAACTAAGACTGTAGAGAAAGGTAGAAAGATCAAGAGTAGAAGGGATTATTAGTGTGGCTTGTGACTACAGTAGGCACAGCTGAATAGTGGAGTAGAGTAGAGTACAGAGTGTTGTGCAGTGGTCTCCCCTGCCGTACTTGACTAGTAATGCCAATTACGACACGCAAGTTCTTTTCCCCCGACAACCAACCTCCATCTCCATCTCCATCCTTTCGACTCGACTTCTCCCCCCCCACTCCCTCCACTTCCAATTTACACCCCTTTTACGACCCTCTCTCTTTACTTCATAATTCAACACTTGCCAACAATCTCGACTCCTTCCCATCCGCAAACCTGGTCAGCGTGAAGTCCGAACATGCTCTTTCGTTGAACCATCATCATCCTCGCCCTGGCTGGCCGCACCCACCCCGGCTTGAGACCTCTCGCTTTTATCGACCGCTAGTTGCCAAAATCCCCCCTCTCCTCTCGTTATTATCCGCTGGAACACGGTCCGGTTCGCAACTCTCCTGAAACTCCCCCCGCCAATAAGGGCCATTGCCGTCACTTCGGGTTGCCGGCCCACGCAGAGTTCACGTCACCCCGTTTCCCTGGGAATCAAAAAGCAACCATGCCATCCTTCTCCTCTGACGCTTACCCATCGGCCACCGCAACGACAACGACGACCACCACCACAGCGACTCACCCCCGATCCTTCGAATCGCCTCACCGGAAGTCGCACGACAAAAGCTCTGTTGGAAACACCTTCCTGTGGACCAACTGGCCTAACGGCGACGCCAACCACGAATCCCATCAGAATGATCGCCAATTGCTCAGTGATCTGAAGAACGGTAGCGCATACTCCCTGAATGGCCCCCGATCAAGCGTTAGCTCCTACACGCGCGAACTGCCACACTCCAAAGACGGCAGCATGCATTCCATCGGAAATGGCTCCGCCAGAGACCCTCGCGACCCCGAGATATCGGCCGGCCATCAGCTATGCTGGACCGGAAACCCTCGGACGGTGCTCCTGGAGCCGGCTCCATACCGGCATCCGTATCGAATCAACAGATGAATGGCATGACCGCTTTTAACATCCGCCCCGCCCAGGGGAAGCCGATGGTCAATGGCGACTATCCTCGTGCTTCTGCAGAGGAACGCTCGATATCAGAGCGAGCGGCTAGTCCATCCAACTCTTCTTTACAGGTTCCCCATTCCGAAGATACGGGTCGCATCTCCCCAGAACCCGATCGATTAGCCCCAAGACCGAACCAGCACCGATACTCGTCCCCTCCCGCCCCCTCAGTAAACGATGCCAGCTCCATTCAGGAGTCTCAACCGTCCAGCGTTCGACAACGACACTCCTTACAAGTTCCGCGAGCCCCCAGTGTCCGACGAAATAGCCGTGATATTGGTGAAGATACTGCCTACAGCAGCGGTCGATTATCGCCCACCAGCGCTAACCCACGCCGCACCTCCTTCAGTCTCATGCGACGCGGAACAAAGACAACACAGTCTGATGGCAACCTTGATGAAGCCCAAACGGACGAGGAAGCCGCGCGCTGGGCGGAGGCCATCAAACAGAAACGAGCGAGACGGCGACGCGAGGATGAGGATGATGAGCGTGTCATCGTAGGAACTAAGGTCGATCAGAATCATGTGAACTATGTTACGGCATACAACATGTTGACCGGAATCCGCTTTACGGTCTCGCGCATCAATGCGAAGATGGACCGGGAATTGACCCCTGCAGACTTCGATGCCAAGCATAAATTCTCTTTTGATATGTTCGTATCTCCTCATACCGAAATATTTGGATAATTTCTAACCGTTCTCTGAACAGCACTGGAAACGAGTTGATACCCTCGGCAAAGTACGACTTCAAGTTCAAAGATTACGCCCCTTGGGTGTTCCGCCATCTTCGTTCGAAATTCCGCCTCGATCCCGCCGATTACCTGATGTCCCTTACCAGCAAGTATATTTTGTCTGAACTGGGCTCCCCAGGCAAGAGTGGCAGCTTCTTCTACTTTTCGCGCGACTACAAATACATCATCAAAACCATCCATCACGCTGAGCACAAGCTGCTTCGCAAGATTCTGCCCGAGTACTACCGACACGTGGAGAAGAACCCCAACACCCTAATTTCGCAATTCTATGGATTGCATCGCGTGAAGATGGCCTATGGCCGCAAGATTCACTTCGTTGTGATGAACAATCTGTTCCCGCCTCACCGAGATATCCACCAAACTTTCGATTTGAAGGGCTCAACAATTGGCCGAGATCTGCAAGAGTCAGATCTTGAAAGGAACCCGCGAGCGACCATGAAAGATCTGAACTGGGTTCGACGCAGTCGTTTCTTGCAGTGCGGGCCCGAAAAGCGAGGCTTCTTCGTGGAGCAGCTCAAACGAGATGTCGAGCTACTCAAAAAGCTCAAGATAATGGATTACTCTCTGCTGGTCGGAATACATGACGCTGAACGCGGCAACGAGGAAAAGTTAAGAGACAAGACTTTGCAGGTGTTCCAGCCCGGGGGCGAGGAAGCCGGTACGAACCAGAACATGCTGATGCGGACCCCATCGAAACTGGAAAACGAACGCAAGGCCCGAGAACTTCGCATGTTGATCAAGCGTGAGCGACCTGTGCCTCTAGACAAGGCAGCTGCCAAGATGCCCGAGGAGATTCTGGACGAGCGAAAGTTCCACATTTTCTACACTGATGATGGAGGCTTTCGCGCAACCCATGAGGACGGTTCTCCCGGGGAGGAAATCTACTACCTAGGAATCATCGATTGTCTGACCCATTACGGAACGGTCAAGAAGATCGAGAATTTCTTCAAGGGCCTTTCAAATGACCGCACACAAATATCTCCCATTCCACCAGAGGGTTACGGTGATCGTTTCATCAACTTCGTTAAAGGGATCACCATGTCGAGGGAGGAAGCCCAACGCCGACGGGACTCCCGTGCATCCCAGGGTACGCGACAGTCGGGCGAAAAGAGAACTTCTCGAGCATCGTCTGTCGAACGACAGATGCAAGCAGCTGAGAAGGAGGCTGCCAAGGATGTCTCAATTACGCATCCTCGAACGCTAGCCACTGTCTGGGATCCTGCAGATGCAGCAGGCCCAGGCCCAACCTCGACTCTTCCGATTGTGGACGAAGCAGGTGAGGCGAGCAGCGTTGGTGACCATAGCCAGAATGGAGCACCGGTCACCGACAAAGACCTCCCTCCAGTTCCTCGTGATGATCGGCCATTGCCACCTGGGAAAGGCAAGGGGGTTGACCGAGAAGACCAATTTCTCACCAGCAGCCCACGCAGGTAAAAAAAACTTGTCTGCCTTCCCCACGGATGACCGTCCCATCTCTTATCTTGTTTTTTTTTTCTCTCTTTTTCTTTGTATTCAGCGAGATATCCCCACACAACCTCCTTCCCATCACGCTTTGCTTGATAGACCGCATGTATCCTGTTTTTACCTCCCTGCATTAGTCACCCAGACACCTGCGTTTACTTTCCTCTCCTGCAAATATTGTCGCAAGATGTTCACGAGTGACGTGTGTATATTTTTCTTCATTTGAGCGCCCCGTCTTCATCAGCATCTCCAACATCCACCGATTAAAGCACAGCAATGGATAAACCGCCCTTGCTGTCTCGGTACAAGATGAGATGCCATGTTACAACGCCTGGGAACAAAACTCCCACAACCACCAACCCGACTTTCTCTCATTGGAAAACAATCCCCTCTTAGTAAGAGGACTACTCACCCAAGCCATCGTACGAACTTGGCCACAACGCCAGCTCCGGGTCCCGACTGACCCAAAATTTCCTTCGTGTCTCAAGTTTCTTTTCTTTTTTTTTCTTTTCTTTTTTTTTCTTTTCTTTTCTTTTTCTTTTCTTTTCTTTTTCTTACATCATCTGTCCTGTCCTGTCCTAGCCTCAGCTACTGCCTTTCTCTATCTGCATCATTGTCACTCTCACTCTCATTCCAGCCTGAACATCTGCATCGCATTCACAATTATATGAATCAGAAGGGAAAATAATCTCCAAACAACCACACGGCCCAGACATGCCACCAAATCAACAATTGGAACCCCTTCGACGAAGACCCAATCAACCAACCACTTTAATTTCCTTGTCAAATCTCTCTCTGCTTTCCTTACCTTTCCAGTCTTTGCTTTCGCTTGCACGTTTTCTTTCCTTCGTTCTGTCCCATTTTGCCTATCGTTCTGCCTTTCCCAACCCGATCAATCAATCCACTCCTCGAGGTACCTTAGCGATCTGAAATTCGTTGTTGTTTGCGACATTTTTCCATACCCTGTACCAATCACAATACCACTTTTCTTGTCTTGTTTCCATCTGCGTCAATCCAGTTGCTTTTACCTACAAGACTAGCATTGACCAGTCCATTCCAGTTCAGTCTTGGGTCTATCTGATTCGATCCAAGCTTTGCTTTGCTTTTGCGTGGATTAGATTCCTCTTTCCGCCTTTTTAGTCTGCTTTTTCCGTTTTTTCTTTTTGTTCCTGGAATTTAGAATATTACATAGATCAACGTCAATGGTGATGAGTTGGTTCGATTTTATGTGGTGCCAATTGTAATTGTAATGGTTCATTCTGATAGACTGTAGGCATAAGATGAAGCGTAAGCGTACTGGCACTACTTCTAGCGTTAGAGTTGGAGCTGGAGTCTGGTTTCGAGTCGCGATAATAACTACTTAGCTACTACATCTACAGAAAAGGTCCGAGTCTCGAGAATCCTTTTCATGGACAAGGGGAGGAGTTAAGTTCAAGTTCATTACAGATCATATCTGCATCCGCTCCCGATTTAATTTAAGAAAAGAAACAAGCCATACATAATCCGGTGTGATGCCAAGTTCATTTCATTCCAATGGTTCCCAGATATGAACGCCACCCCAGATACATCATAAACCAACCGGAGGATCGCAGAAGGAATTAAAGAAGAAAAGAGTTAATGTCATGGAAGTGAAGCAAGATCCTTGCACCAACAGAGCCACGCTCAGATATGGGAAAAGCGAAACGGCAAGGGGGGGCAACGGTAGATAGATAGCAAAGTATGGGGAAAGAAAACCATTGCAGCAAGACCCAACCCGACCCAAGACCGTGGAAGGAAGGAGTCAAAGAAAAGCGAGCAAAAGAAAACGCCTTTATTCCCTTGAAAAGCGACAAAAAGAAGAAAGCAGCGGCAACAGTAGCACAACGCAAAGCGAGGAGAGAAAGATTCCATCGTAGTTTCATTTACTCCGTTCGGCCCTGAGTCACCTTCGCAGCTTGGACGGCAGACATTTTCTGAAGCCAGCCCGTAGTAGGCTGGGGTTTTCTTGACGGTACGAAGGTCGTCGGTAGCGAAACCGGAAATACGCATGTTGTAGTTGCGTTCCAGGACGAGTTGGATATCGCGAATCTCTAGGGAGGAAGATGGGCGTAGTTTGGCGAGGCGGCAGGCTTGGCTGATTACGTCGTCGACGAAGTCGTCTGCCATTTGGAGGATGAACTGTAGGGGGATGTGGGTTAGTCGGGATGGTTTTTCTTCTCTTCTCTCACTTGGCGTTTACTTTGGGGGTTTGGATTGAAGGATGGTTTGGGGTGGGGATGGGGTCTCGTGAGAAAGAATTAAACATACCTCTTCCCCGTCGGGAGTTAGCATTTCTCCCTCTCCTCCTCCGGTTACTTGGCGGACGAGGATGTCTAACATCTTCTTGCTGAGAACGTGCTGCCCTTCACCTTCGAGTACGTAGCCTGGGTGTTTCTGGATGGCGGGTTGTCCCATCATACCCATTGCACCATGGCTTGGTCCTCCAGATAGGGAGGGACGTGGAGTAGACATCGAGACCGGCTCTGGGGTTGAAACGTTCAGGTTCTTGGGGATAACCATGTTGATGTTGCGAGCGCTTGCTTCGGCAGAACGGTTGGCGAGATAACCCGGTGGGTGAGCTTGTTGCTGGCTAGCAGCCTGGTTCATAGGCTGCTGTGGTTGTGGTTGATGTGGCTGGCCTTGGTGCGCGGTATAGGTGTTCGCGGATTGTTGCATAGCCGTAGCCTGGGTTAGTGGACGTGGTGGGCCCTGATTGGGACCTTGCTGAGGGTTGGGAGGAGTTGAACCATCAGGGTTGGGAGTTTGACTGAAGGTGATTTGCGCGCCTGGCGTTCCCTGTTGAGAAGAAGGCTGAGGACGCTGGGCAGGTGGTGGTGCGTTGGAAGGAACAGGCGTGCCACCAGCAGAGGGAGGTGCTTGCCCTGGCTGGGATGTCGAGGGAGACATGGCTTGTCCAGCTTGGTTGCGTGCAGCGTTGACGGCCGAGTTGATAGTGTGTGGTGCTGGGGTAGGCGCCTGTCCTGGCATCGAATTTGTCGTGTTTTGTGGTTGTTGATTCGGAGCCGTCTGCTGGGGTGGTTGCTGGGGTGGCTGCACGGCTGCTACAGGAGCAGCTTTGTTCTGCTGTGCCACTGCAGCTCCCTGGTTTTGCTGGGTCTGGTTGACCATCGGCTGGGTCTGTTGCTGTGATTGCATTTTGAAGCTCTCTTGCTGCTCTTTGAACTTGTTCAGGAAATCACTGCCTTCACGGAACAGCTTCTCCGCAGCTAGCTGACGATTCTTGAACTCCTGCACCTCCTCCTGCGTCATATTACCCGCAGCTTGACGCTGAGAGAATGACTGACGCAAGTCCGCAATACGAGCCCGTCCAACTTCCTGCTTCTGGAGCGCAATTCCGTATCGCAACCGAGCCTCGGGAATCCACGTTTGGACCTGCTCGTTGGTGACATTTGGTGGCAGATAAAAGTTCAACGAGCTGACCTTGGCCTGAATTTGTGGCAGAAGCTGGCCAAGGTTCTGGGGGTTGTTCGATTGAGCGCGCTGAACGGGTTGGCCCTGCTGTGGCTGGCCCTGAGGAACCTGACCCATCGGTTGGGTCGGCTGGGACTGGTTTTGTTGTTGTTGAAGTGCCTGCTGGCGAGTCTGCTGGAACACCCGCATCCCTTTCATCAAATTTTGCGATAGCTGCGATAGCTTCGCATGTGCTGTCTGGTATTCGTGACTTTGCGCATCGCGGCCGTTGAGTACATCCCAGAGGTTGCGCACCAACTGAGTATGCTGCGCCTTCTGTTGTTCATTGAGGTGGGGAAGCTTTTGTACCTGGTCGGTCCGTATGAGGTTGGAGTGCGGTTGTTGCTGCTGTTGCTGTTGCTGCTGCTGCTGCTGCGGCACCATGGGCTGACCGGCCTGGCCTTGGGAGCCGTCCATGTTGGCGGTGATGAGGCTGAGGCTCGCAGGGTATCGGTAAAAGGGGGAACGAAATCGGATTTGCGGCGATTTTCAGGGCGATTGGAAAGATATTAAGCTTGTTGCCGCCTTTAGTCCCGTCTCACACGCGACGAAGGATGAACTGCGGCTGGTCGGCGTGGATGAGGTTGCGCTCGGTGATTAATGCCAAGACCGCCTTTGCGGCTACGTGCTTATGCCATCGTCCTTGTGCTTCACAAACTTATACCTGGGATTGATAGTATGGTATCTACGGTTGAGATTGTATTGAATTATGATAGAAATTAATTTGCATCTGCTAGTATTATCTGCTAGTATTATCTGCCAGTCTATTTGGCCAGAGTGAGTACGAGATTTCCACGCAGACGATGAATTGGGTGTATATGTTGGACTCTAAGCGGTGTTGATATATTGTTATGTAGAAGAGTTGCTTTATAGCAAAGAACAAAATTGAAAAGAAATATCATTGCATAAGGGGTATAAAAACATAAACCGAGATCTCTAGATATCTCTTGGGCGTCGTCAAACATCATAAATGGAGGGGCTGTCTAGTCACTGCCAGTATTCTACTGCCAGGCTTTCCTGCCAAAGAGCTTGCTTTTGGACCCAGGAAACGACGGGCTGGATCAACACATTGGAAATCCTTCCATTTAGCCCATTAGACCGCCAAGATCTCGATCCATGCCGGTTACGCGAGCCTCCAAAGCGCGTTTCTTCCGTTCTAGCTCTGCGATCTCGGCCATCTCTCGCTCGATTTCCTCGTCAGTAACCTCTCGGATACCTGGCTGCGAGACGGGAGGGGGTGAGAAATCATCATCGTCATCGTCGTAGGAATGGCGCATTTGCTCGAGCTCTGCTGTGTTGGTGGCGACGCGATTCTCCAGCTGGGCGACGGAATCGGCAATCACTTCATGACGATAGCGCAAGTTGGCAATCTTTTCTTGAGCACCTGCAACAGGACTGAATGATTTGTTAGAAGAAGAAGAAGAAGGAAAGAAGAAACAAAAAGCGGGAGTAAAGAACGTACTAGACATTGCACAGAATCTCCG